TATGTTTATAGCGGAAAACCAAAACTATTTTATACACGGCTCGTAAATGTGTTAGTTCTTCTTTTTTTTCTCCATTCTTTTGAAAAGTCATCCGCCTGAATTGGCATGCAAAAAAGTAATAATAATGAAAGAGAGAACGTGCACATGATATAAAGATAGGCTCATTCGATCGAAATAGATCAGTTTTGTAGAATTTGTTATTTAAAAAAAATGATGTCTTGTAATCGATTCACCGCTGCATGCAAATCTCTCGCTAGGCTTGTGTTGTCGATTTTCGGTTCATGACACATACAAACACGAAAATACGTCCTTTCTCTATTTTTGTATATTCTGGTTCATTGCGTCGCATAGTGCAAGTGTTTGGCGCACGCAATTACATGAATAATATCGTCAGCTGAACTAGTTGAATGACGGTTTTCCAGTGTACACATGCATTTAACACACCCGGAATGACAGTGATTTAGAGTTACAAAAGCAACGGATAGAAAATTAATACAAAACTATAAAATGTTAAAACTAGAGGCAAAATGTAATACATGTGTTACCATTGGCAACTATGATTAAACACTTTCATTGTGTTCGGGCGTTTGTTTTATTCGCACAATGACTAACAACCAAGACTAGAACAAATTGAACAATCATAATATTGAATTTATCAAAGGAAAAAAACTCATTAAATTGCAATTCGTTCCACATATCTTCTATGCTTTCATTCTATGTGTGTATTTTTTAATTAACTAATGCGATTTCGATGGTTCTTTTTGACAGTCGAACGAACCACTTTTCATTTATTTAAAGTGGAAATTAAATTTTCGAACTCGATCCACCGAAATCATTTAGAAAAGCCATGCTTCCATTTAACTTTTAATGAATGCACATTGAAGCGGGGGGAATATTCAACCATTTCTGTCGACGGTCTAATAAATGAACATTTTGGACGTGTACTATATACCACATATGTACACATTGGCTGGGTGGAATTACCCACAATCACATATACGGACGGCATGGTTGTTGTTATTGTTGCTTCAATCAGTTTCGCATTTCGTGTACTTGAGCATATATGCATATGAGCATGTTTGTTTATTGGATTTTTTTCGCTTAAAAATAGCACTCCGATTTGTTTATTCAACTTTTGGTCGGTGCAAATAGCCGACCCAGCTCTGGCATATCGAAGAGGGGATCAATAAAACAGCTGACCAAATCGATTATGCTACTTATCGCATTTATTTGATGTATACAAAATGGAATCATTTCAATCATCAATTATTTCTAAAATAAATATTTTAAAAACTTATTTTCATGAATCAGGACAAATGTTAATGCTACTGTTTTATTTGAGATGGTATTTATTTTTTAAATGCTTAACACAATGGCGCTTAAAGTTGGTGCGAGTCAATATTAATTGATGTATTATGTTATTTATCATATTTCAGAATCAAGATAAATGGAAGTATAACGGCCCGATGAATTCAAACACAATATCGGCAATTGGAGGCGGCATGTCGATGCAGCAATCACATCAAGTGCCGGCGAATACAATTGTTAAACCACCATCATTGCCACAAATGTTGAATCCATCGTTGCATCAGCAAATGCAGAGCCAACAGGACCGTAGTCGACAACCAACGGTAGGCATTTTGTTTTTTATCGTCAGATTTTTGTATTGTTCAACATTTTCACATTAAATTTCTTCATTAAATTCGTCCACAGCATCAATTACCGAACCATTTGAGTGTCGGACCAAATATGACTCATGGCGCATTGAATAGCAATAGTGGAATGCCACCATCCATGCAAAGTGGCGTTGGCATGTATGATCACATGCAACCCGGTGTTAATATGAATGGTGTAAATATGTCGCCAAAAACCGATCAACAACAAAGTCAAATGATGCAATCTCAACATTTGAACGCGTTACCGCCACAAAATCAATTCCTGCAAAGCAGAAACACAAGCACGGTAAGTTTGTCTGCAAATTTGATTCAACATGCAAAATTTAATCAAAATTCATTGAATGACTTCAACTTCCGTTTGAAAAGTAAATTTACCCATTTCCAAACCAATTATTTAAAATCAAATAAGAAACTTCAAATCAAATTCGACGCACTTATGGCAATTTCCTGAAGAACTTTTAGCAACATGATTCTACTTCGGTTGATTTTACGCGAATTTTTTTTTTCCATTTTCTCAATTTTCGTCATCGTAGTTCTCAAAGCAATAAATTCAATTCGTGACACTGTGCCTTTTTCTCGATCTTGCCATTGTTGATAAAAAAAGGTAAACACAATCAAAGCGCATAAAATCCTAGCGCGTATCGCTCAAACAAATGCGTAGAATGTTTCCTTTCTGTTGTTTTTTTTTTTCTTGACTCACTTTCACATTTTTTTACTAATGAAATACATAAGTACAGATATACAGTGTCGATGAACATGCTTTTGCGAGTTTGTGATTGTAGAAGGCATTAAAACCTGTTTACTTTGGAAAGTAGCAAAAAATCATTTCGAGAGAACTTTATGGCAAGAATTTCAATTACAGCCGTAAAACCTCATAAACTATCTCTAGGAAAAGCCACAAAGAGTTTGACCAGGATTTTAATGGCATCGTATGGGTTTTACAAAACCATCCAATCCATTCTGCCTTAAAAAAGTAAAAGAAAAAGTAAACGAAGATGAAATAAAAGTATAAAAGTTAGAAGAAAAGCCAGTTCTGACGCCGTCATCATCGTAGCATAGCGATACTATGTGGGAGTTATCGAAACAAAAATTCTTTTATGGTCATTCTTTTTTGATTATGTTAGTAGATTTTGTTGTCATTATGCTTGTGACAGCGACACAAAGAAATGTCCATTTTTTTTAGTGAATAGCACAATTTTACGACTATTTAAATTATATTGCAAAATTAATGAATGGTGATGCATTTTGGAGAAGCAGGTCTTTAACACTTCTCAAGTAAAAATATCACATTTCGAAGCACAAGACCGCATATCACATTTTTAAGAACGCTATACATTCTTCTTCGTTAACAATCTGACTATGTTCCAATTCAGTCCTTAACGGGTTGCGTGCTCGCTTTATTAATAAGCACCACGAGAAAATATGACAACTTTAAATTTTTTTTTTTTTAAAACGACAAAACTTTTTTATCCGCAAATAAAGACACATTGTCGAAATGCATCCGAACCATTGTTTCAATTATTGTTATTTATTTGAATAGAATTCTTGAAATTAAATTGGCAAAGTCATAAAGGTGCAATATACTTAAAACAAATTGAGTTTTATTTTAAAATCTTTGATAAAATATGCCAAGCTGAAAGCGAATTAACGAATCTTTATAAAATTAAACATTATGTGTGACTACGGAAAAAAAGCCGTTTTCTTTAGCACTGCTGCTGTTTGTGTTTCTTTAAGAAATTAAATTTTATTTCGCTTCTGCACAACAAGCGCTAACTCCATACAAATTGGAATCAAGCAGCACTTGAAATGAAAACGGCTAGCATATACACCGGTATGAAAATGCCGGCTCGCATGTCATTAAATTAATATTACTGTCGCACATACATTAGCCATGTATTTATGAATGCCTTGGTAAATATCCTCATGCAAAATCAAGCTTCAGGCAACAACAAATTTTTTAACTACTTTTTACTTAAAGTAACATTGCACTAGCACATACAATCATTTACAAGCATATTTGTTGCACATTGCGGTTAAGTTATTTCTTGTTTCATATTACATGTGTATTTCTCTATCTTTCTCTCTCTCTCTCTCTTCCGCATTTTTCCAATTTACGTGAATTTACTTTTCATCACTTGAAGCAAAAACGCTTGATGTATACTGTACTGTACCGTATTCATATGTATACAAATATGCTTCTAATGAAATTCTCGCTTTTAGTACATCATCTTAAATGTTTGACGATAACGAAAAGTCATAATTCTGAAACAAAGAATCCCCTGCGGTTGTGAGTGTCTCACTCTGTACGTGTGTTCGCTCTACTCGTATATTGGAAATTTTCAAATGCATAACTTCGCAAAATACTTTTATTCATTGAGTGTTCGCATAAAGTTTGAGTTATAAAATATTATTCCCTTCTCAAATAAAAATGAATATGTACAAAAATACTTCAAGATAAACAATTTAGTCAATGGGCGAAAAAAATTCACTGTAATAAAATTGACTGAAACTTCTTTGACATCATGATGGCGCTCAATAAAAGAAGAAGAAAAAAACGTTGATTTTGAATAATTCATCTTCAAAAAAGAATGGAATAGCCCCTGTGTACAACTTTTTGTAGCCGCTTTTCGGCCAAATGTACATTAAAGTAGTAACACTTGCATAGCGTAGTTCAAGTAAATTGGCAAGAAGTTGCATACTCAGTAAAATTGTGCACATTGCATGGAGCACAAAAAAGTGCAGTGCAGCGATCGACAAGAAAACTGAACGCTCACAATGACGACGACGTCCAGACATAATGCATAACTGGATGCAGTGCAAGTGTGACGGCAGTCATTTTAGTTTTTTTTTTTTCAAGTTTTGCACAAACACACATGTATACGCTGTCTATATTGGAAAGGACAAAATGTACAAAGAGAAAAGAACAGGAAGAACAACTACTTATCCAAGATATGACTATTCGTCTGTTATGTATGGATTCAATTGCATTTTTTGCTTCTTCTGTTCCACAAATTTGAAAACATTGCAGTACAAAACATAAAGAGGAGAGTATTCAAATGGAGTAGAAACTATGAGCTTCCACACTGAGTTTTTCACAGAGACAAAGAAAAACTAAGTTGATGAGAAGATTACCCCAACATCATTTCCATTTGAATGCAATTTACATCGATATTGCGAAAAAGAGAATAAAACGAGTAAGTAATGGCCAAATTTTGTGCATTTATACGTGAAATGAACAAATGCCCACAAATGGATCATTGGCACCAAAGGAATACGATATTGGGTTCAATTGATTTTGAATGGCATTCTCCATTCAACATTCATATTGATTTTTTTTTTATATCAGTATACTTAATATAAATGTCTTGCACATATATTCTTCACTGTTTGTGCATGACAAGCCAAATCATATTAAATTCATTTTATTATTTATTGAATTCACTTGAAACGTGTGTCTTATTTCTGTATGCAATGTAGATGGTCGTGTATTTCAATGAAAATAATAATTGAACTGATAATATATCGTATTCAGTATTAAGCACTGGGCACATGTTTCTTAAACGCGATATACACGCATCGCTTTTATCCTTGAAATGCGTCTTCATTCCATTTGCGTTGGTAACATTGCCGTATTTTTCAACATTAAATTTGGAATTTTTTAAGAGTGTGTATGAGTGCGAGAGAGAGAAAAAAGAGTTTTAAATTGAGTGAGAAAAGTTTTATGCAACATTATTAGCAGTACTATTTGCTATCCCATTGAAAATTGTTTATTCAACTGAAATTGCTTTTCTTTGTTCCAAATGGAAAACAAAATATACAAAAAAGAAACTCTGTTGAACAAGTTAATTCTATGGAAAATTTCCAATGAAAGAATCCATAAAGAACAAGTGAATTTGTGCTGCGTTTGATTGGAGACAATAATATGGACTAGATAATTAAAAACGCGTTTTCATGGCACATGGCTTGTGTCTAGGTAAATCGAAGGTTTGCTTAAGCATAAGCATACCATATCGAAAACAAAATAAAAATCTATATGTAGTATAGACTCTTAAATGGTAAAAACAATGTGGATTTGTAAGCAAGTTACATAGCAATGGAAAATTATTAAACCTTTTGTTTTAAAATTCAAAATCCATCATTATATTCTGGGTGGTTATGTGAATAACAGTATTCATTTCAATGAAACCAATATATTAATTTAATGAATTTTGTTTTTTTTTGACCTTGGAACTTCAAACACACATCCACACAAAAACAATTTCCGCCATTTAGACAGGGATCGAATTAAAAAAAAAAAACACACACACACACACATGAAACGACTCGAATACAACATTTTACAGTCGTTTCTCACGTCCAAGTGTCAACGGAGCAATAATTTTGTTTTGATGAACTCCAACCAAAAAAAAACATTTCATCATTGCTTATACGAATGTGTAGCAAAAGAATATGGCGTCAAAAAAGCAAAGAGAGGGAGTGAAACGCTCAAAATTGACTTTCATTGAATTCGGATTTGTGTTCGAGTTTCAATTTTGCCAATTCAATTTAAATAAAATACCAAATTTTCTAATTCCTTATATACATGAAAAATGTACAGATGTTAGCACATATATGTTGATTGACGTCGGAAAATATTTAACTTATTCAAAAGAATAGAGTCAGCTTCGTAAGTTCTTTCTTTTCACAGTTTTAATTAAAATTGTGCAGAAAACTCCCTGAAACATTTCAAATGCAGTAGCTAGAAAATCATGTTAAGAATTTAAACAGCAAGTGTCGTTGCCACTCTTCGTTTTGAGTCTTTCGCAGTGTTGCATAATTCGATTAAGATTTCATATCCAATTTCTGATGAAATTGCAATAGTGGGAGAAATATGCATGTAATTTCTCATCTCAAAATATGCTTCGAACGATTTGCGCATTGACTTTGAGTGAAAAAGTGTTGAACAGTAGAAGAAAAAATCTGCGGATTAAGCGTAAAACGTTCTTAGAACACTTTAATTCATTTTTCATAGAACATGTTGCTACAGTTTTTTTTCCTGCAAAGAATACGACAAAAAAAACCAGCATAAAATATTCTTGACTTTGTTCAACGAAAGCGATTAAGAAGCAAGCTGCACGACAAATGCAGATTCACCTGTGACAAAATTCTATTTCTCTAAAGTGTCAAAGAAGGTGTCTCTGCGAATTCCGTTCAAATGCTGAAAAGAAAAAGACATATTTTATTTTCAGCAAAAATCTGCAAATCTTCACGAAAGCGTTTCCCATGTGGTTCATTGTTTCTGTTGAT